AATTATTGAAGTGTGAATAACAAAAATGGAGTGTAAATAATCTTACTTATTTAAATTAATAAGAAAACATGAAAAGAAGTTATCTTTGTTATCTCTTCTTATGGTCTTATAGAAGTTTTAATTGTTGTAGAATCATAAACAACGCAAGGCATCGAAAACGTGATGGGTTGAAGTTCAAATAGGATAACATGCATATTAACCAACAATTTGAAATGAAATAATTTTAAAAAGTAACCAACAATTTCAAATGTGAAGAGTAGATGTGGAAGTTGAGAGAAATATATTTTATAAATTAAATTAAATGTGAAATGCTAGAAAAATGGAATTGGTAGTGAGAAGATGCGTGGAGGCTTGTTGCTAAAAATTCCTTCTCAAATTTATATAGATATAGATAATATTTTTCATCCCTTACTTGTAAAAGTGTAATTTTACGTTCCTTACAAATTTACATCGGTCAAATTTGGTCCCTATCTAGATTTCTGACTAGTTTTTGATCGAAATCCATCATATGCCTTATACATGATCATTTTTAAGCGGCAAAATTATCAAATCATATTTCACATAATTTGATCAATAGTTCATCACATTTTACAAAATGAATTTTTTTGTCCCTCACATTTTACAAAATGAAAATTTTCATTTCTCTCATTAATCATGTGTACGAATAGTTTTTTCTTGTTTTTGAAAACTCATGTGTTGTCTATTTTATTTCACCGGAACAGTACAAATAAGTTAATTGATTTCACCAGAATAAACTAATTTTAATTATAGGTGAAATCAAATAGAGATACATTTCATGCTATTCATACTATTCAGGTGAAATAAAATAGATATATATATATATGGGTTTAAAAAAATATTCGTACACATGATCAATGAAAAATGAAAAAATTCATTTTGTGAAATGTGAGGGACTATGAATCAGATTATGTAAAATTGGATTTGACAGTTTAGCTGTGACGCCCCCACTTCTCCCTAAGGCGAACCAAAGGGTATCCGCGGAACGCTTGCCTAACTCTCGCCAGGACTCAAGCAATTCCATTCAAGCTTATTATCGATCTACACAACACAAGTAAAACTTAAATACAGTAAATGCGGAAGCGTTCAAGCTTAACAATAGTTATCCATTATCCAGCCCGCACGTCGGGTGTTCAAAGTACAACATAACTCCCAAATATACATCACGTCCCAAAAGTTACATTTCAATTCCATAAGTACATCCCAAAACCAAGGGGCATAGCCAAAATGTAATAGAAACCCTAAACAAAAAAACACATCAGGAGGGTTTTCCCCAGTACACCTCCGAGTTCAAACCTGTTAAGAAAAACAAATCTACAGGGTGAGCAAAAACGTTCGTGAGGCCAAGAACACACATGCAGGCACATAGTTCAGGTAACAAGCCCAAGTAACGATTCAAATAATAGCTTGCAAGTAATTAATAATGCCCACCAAAAATGTAACCAGAAACAATTCAAGGATATGGTAGCTCTTAGGAGCTAAGTTCCACTTGATTTGCCAGTTCATTCGTATATCTTCCCGTGATGACTCTCCGTCAACCGGGTTGATATTTCCAAACCGTAGATCACCACTTACTTCTCATCCGTCCACCATACACCGCTTCGGACCCGCACGACATTTATGAGGCGATACTCCACGAGTATGCCAAGCAAGATCTCTCCAATAGATCAATCTTATCATGTGAATCTCATGGCTCACCGAGGTTCCCGACCAAGCCTATGCCGGCTCGGGTTCCAAGGTCGACCTATGAGTTTGGGCGTCCCCCATGTATCATGTAAGTGTCGAGGAGATTCACTCCATCGACGTATGCAGCCATAGCATACCATGTCATGTATTTAAGCATTTGACAGGTTTAAGCATGTATTTCAGGTCATGTAAACCAGGCAAACCATGTTAAGCATGAGTCATTTGTTTCAAATGAGAACGAGTGCGATAAAGTACACACTTGACTCCATTTTTCAAAACTAAGCAGGCTAAGCATGTAATCAGGTAAGCCAAGCATGAATCAAGTCCATAGAGTTCAAGTAGTCATACACTTGACACTCACCGAGCAAATCAAGAAGAAATATTTTCTGGAACTTCAAGTGTGCACGGTAGGATCCTCTTGAAGGTCCTCATGTGCGCCTGAGCAATTAATAATATATTGTCATTCATATATCCCAACTATCAAGGAAGATTGTACACCAGTACAATCTAAGGAAATTTCATGAAATCGAACCTCAATTACTCGTAAATCGAGGTTCAATTAGAGTTTCTTAAAGTACAAAAGCATTTGGATTTTTATCTTGGAAATCGAGGTTAAAACGTTTGCATAATGTCGAAAGAATAAAGAGTTCTTGGAAAACTCTATTTCCTTGAAAGTTGGAAAATTTCAGTTTTGATATGGATTTTTGAAAAATCGTATCTCACTCGATACAAGTCTAAAATTGGAAAACTTTATACCGTTGGAAACCTCTTGGAAAGTACTAAAAGTTTTTAGAAGACACTGTTTCATGAATCTAAGCGGAAGGTATTCAAAAATGAGCTTAAAGTTGCTGTTCCAGAACACCCAGGATTGAGCCGGGGTTGGTTTTTCGCTAACTTTGGAAATTCGGCAGAATTCACTCGTTGTAAACCAGCCCTTGAAATTTATAACTCAATTAGAGGTGTAAGTAAGGTTTAGGAAAGAACAAGCGGATCGAGACTCGGAGTTTCGAGCACCCAGATATGGTAGCTCAAAGTTGGGAAAAATTCAAGACTGTTGAACAAATTTCCAGATTTGGGTTTCCGAATTTGGACCTTTAGTTAAGTGTCGAAACGGACTTGGATTGGTACCAAATTTTGCAGTATAGTACTCCTATATGTAGGGTATCTCTCTATCAAATTTCGTAGTAAAATACCTTCGGAAAGGTGGTTAATCAATCAACAAAAGTTTTAAATTTACTAAGGCAAAACTGCCTTTAGCTCCATTTCTCTCCGTTTCCAAACATTCGGCTAAAGAAAACCTCCAAACATGGTTCATTTGTGCAAGAAAAGTCTAAGGAACATACATGGTACATTTGGTAGGTGTTTAGTACCAAGAAATTCATTTAGTAAGACCACAACAAGTCTTACATCAAATCTGTCCAAATCCAAGGGTTTTCAAGAACAGGGCAGTCACCGTATTTTGATCATAACTCACTCAATTTAACTCGGAATTGAGCATGGTTTATAGTGTTGGAAAATACATTCATAGGGCTATAATTTCACAGAAGAAATCGTTTTAAGTTTCAGCATGCAACTGGCTCGAAATTAAGCCTAAAGTTGCAGCATCATCAAATCATTTCAGCAGAACAGAGAAACAGGGTAGCCTTCTTAAAACGATTGGTTTGGCTCACACACATGGAACCAAAACGTGCATTTTATACCGTTGGAAAGGTGTGGATGCCTAGTTCAAATGCCACTGACGGTACTCGATTTCGACGTCGAAGGACAAAGTTACGGCCGAAACACTATCGCTGGACAGAGCTACACGGAAACAGTTTTCCAGCTTGACTGGTTTCACAAAAATATTCATTTGCCCAACCAAACTTCAATATTTTCCAATGAAAATTTTTACACAACTAATACAACATATAAACATCATATTCAAGCCATTAGATCATCAAAAATTGGCCTTAAAATAACCGAACAGGGCAGGGGCAAAATCGAAAATTTCTATTCCATGAGTTCCTTGAGATTTCTGCTAATTATACTCCATTAATCCACCATTTCAAACACTAAACCAACATTATAAATAGCATCAATCACCATATCAGCCATCAAGACAGAGATGGGAGTTCATAGAGCCCACCTTCCATTTTTTTCAACAACAACAACAACCCATAGGAAATTAAGAGCAAAAAAGTATACTAGAACTTCCAAAAACTGAAATTAGAAAGCTTGATCATGACTTACTCTAGTTGATGAACAACTCAGAAATTTCGGTCCCTCCTTGCTCCTAAGTGAGCCGTGAAAAGTCCCCCCTTTTTAGCTAGATATGAACTCCAAGTCTTAGGCTAAGTAGTGTTAAAATTTGAGAGAATTTGGTAGAGATTTGAGTAAGATTTGTAGAGGGAAATGTTGAAGAGTTTTGGTTGTTTCTTTGCAGCTTCTAGCCGGCCATGGAAGCTTGGAGAAATGATATGTTTGGTCTGACCCTTTGGCGTACAAAGAAAGCTTAACGTCTAATAGTTTAGGTGCGCAAAAGTCAACCGTAAATAGTGCGCATACGCGTGCGTTTTGTGCTCGATTTCTCTTAAGTTTGTTGCACTAGTGCACTAAACCTCTAAGGCACTTACATTCATATAAATATTATTCATTCTTAATTGTCCCAAAATAATGGTCCAAAGTCCCACAATTAAGCGCACGTGTGAAAATGCGTATTTCCAATTTAGGCGTGATAAAGTGAAACTTTCGAGAAATTCTTATAACGATCGTACCACCAACTATCACTTGAGTACTTAAACCTAAATTTACCTATTTTAAGACCATTGAACATGTCTCCAAATTTTCAAACTTATTGTACTCTCAATCGGTTAAAATTTCCAAACACGTTTTTGCTATTTTCACTAAACGAACTTCCAAAAAAATTAATTTTTTGAAACAAGTCGCTTTAGAAATATAAAGAGGCGTCGTTCCATATAAATGGATTTAAAATGGTCGAAATAAATAATTCGGAGAAAATGAGTGAATAATCATTTAAATATTCCAGTAATATTCTATAAAAATAAGAAAATTTTCGGGTCCTCAGATTAGCCCCTCAAAAATAATTACGTGCAAGGCACGCGGTGAATTCCAGTCAAAAACTAATAAAAAATCTAAATAAAAACTAAATTTGATCATTATAAATTTATAAGAAATATAAAATTATACTTTTAAAAATAAGGTTCGGAAAGTAGTCATTTTACAAAATATAAATTTTTTTTAATGATTTCCCTTTGGTTAATGTGCACTTTCTCAGCACCGCCCAAGTCTCCAGCTGGTCCCCTTTTTGCGCCTAACCCAAAATTTTCTACCTCTCTTTCCCTGGCTCAAACCGTAGATAGAGGGTAAGATATTAATGCTACTCGCGCCATACTTTCGTTTCTGATGCTACTATGTTGGGTGTCTCTCGCACTATTTTCTCCCACCACTTGCGAGACTGTAACTGCTATCTCAACCACCACTACCATCATCAACAATACAAGAATTGCAGTAAGAAGAAGCCTCGTCACCAATTTTGTTTTACAGCCAAGCAACTCCATCACCCTTTAATTGTAAGACCATCTACCGCTACTTTAGCTGCCATGTCCTTTTCTACAGAAAGGTTCAGATTTCTGTTGAACAACGATGATTGTAGAAGGGATAATGGTTTGAGAGACCCTTATGTTAATTGTATTCAGCACACCAAAAGTCCGCCTCTTCCAGGTTGTTTAAGGTAACATGAATTCTTTCTCTTTTTTTTTTCTTTTGCCTAATCTTTTGCAACGATTTGATATTGTTTTTGCATGTGCTAATTTTTTATTACTGGGGATATTGTTGTTGAAACTTCGGTATGATTTGCCTGCTGCAATAGGAGAGTTTTAGTTTTTGTGTCGAATAGGGGAATTTGTGTATGGGTTTGATAGGCTTTTAATTGGCAAATTTAATAGTTAGAAGTGAATTGATGTGAACCTTTTACTATTGAGATTAAGGGATTGTAGAACATCAACTTTTTGGCCCGGCAGAACTGTGGAAGAATACCTAATTTACCTTGATTACTTGTGAAAACATGCAATTGGAAATAAATCTGTGACTTATGCTTTGTTGGCTGCAATATGGAAGTTCTAATTCCCGAATTAAACATAACAGTTGATGTTTAGGTTCTTTAGGCTGCTTATCAAGTGAGTTTAATATCTAGAATAGAGTCTAGGATTATGGAGAAAAATGAAACTGCTTCGAATGATTTGTCTGCGCAAATGCGTATTCTAGAATTGAGACATAATAGCTTGATTTCAAACCAAAATTTTTTTAATGTCAGCACTATTCTCTCCTGCTTGCAAAGAGTGTTTTGTTGTTGTTCGAATTTTTATGCTACGTTAAGAATGACAATGTGTATGGTTATAGAGAGGTGGTATAGGCAGTCAGCATATTAATGATTTATATTTCTTGTGGTGGTTACTTAGAGTTATAGGAGATGAAAAGATTACCTATCTTCTGATAGTGTGGCAAATTTATGTTTAGCATTGCTCAGTTATGGTTTTTCTGTCATTCTAATGTAATTTGCATATTTTTTAATTCTCTTCTGGTAGCCAAAATGAAGATTGTCAAGAGTCTCCACCTGAAAAATTGTCACCAATAGCAGGTTTTCTCTTTGTTCTCTTCAATCTTTTAGCTTTTTTTTTTTTTAATCTTCTAATATTCCTCATTTTTCTGTTAACAAGCACGTGATTAGAAACAATATATTCAGGTGACGTTACTGCAATTTGTTATGGTCATGAAGTTACTGAACAGGTTTTCCCTTCTTAAGTTGATTATATTCTTATTTTGACCATACAAGTAGTAGGAAGAAAAATGACCTTTTGTTAACATGTTCACATGTCTTACATTTTTTTTTTTTTCAGTTAATTTGTAGCAATTTGATATTTATCTCTTTTTGAAGATAAATGTAATCTTTTTATATTCTGTTCTTGGGTTGGGGCTGGGAGTGGGGGGAGGGTGGATGCAGTTTACATGTTCACTGGCAAATTAAATACGGAAAATTACAGGATCCATGTATGTTTAGTTGATTTCAATGGTTTGCTGCAACAGTTTCAACTAACAACTTGACCCTTGATACTAAGAAATATCTATCCGGAACTTGTCTACACAGTTATCTCAGAGAACATTCATTTCGGCTTAGTCATATATACTTGAGAAGTGCAGTTCTTGTACTTTCTCATTTGATCAGTGGAGATAAAACTTGAAAATGGTTCTGACTCTTTTTGAGCTGCACCTTTTTGGTTTCTTTTACTTGGGCAAGATCTAGTCCTAGATAGGCAGATCCAATTCTCACAGCTAGTTCAGTTAATTTTATAAGTAAATGCCTGAACCAAGATAGGATGTTGTAATGGAACATCTAGAATTATGGAAGGAAAATTATTTTGGAGGGGTGCAGTGATTCCCAATCATGGTTTATGATGCTTTGCAAAAGGAATAAAGAAAAAAAATACTAGTTTTTTTCATGTGGTATGTGGGGAGCTGAAATGATCTTGATAGATGCAATATTAATAGTAAAAAAAAAAAGTGGTACTTCATAATCTAAAAGCTGAATATATCCACAAATTTTTACATGCCCTTTCGCATTCTGGTTGTTTCTTATTGGCTAATTATGGCCTTGGCCTGTAAGTGAGCGGCTAACCTGCCCCTTTGCATGCTGGCGGAATTATTCTGAGTGGTTAAGCTTGTGGTAGATTTGTAACTGGGCTGCTTTTGTTGCATCTAATGCTCCATCAAATAAGCTGCCAGAGATATGAGTTATGTATTTTCGAAATTCCAAACCTCTAACTAAAATGACAAATACTTATTCCACCTAGATTAAATTCGTCTGAAGAGTTGCATTAAACAGAATGTTCTCTCAAGAATGTTCCCATCTATTAGCCTACTCTTGTCTACTTGTCTTTCTCCATCCAGAAAACTTGTATACTTTTCATCGTCCTTATGAGTCTGTGATCCTGGATGGAATTACATTAGGTGAACATGTCATGCAATTCATCATTCATTCATCTCTTTGCATACACAGGGAAACACTTTTATGCCTTGAGAAACAAGATTGGTTTCTTTTTTGCATTGTAACGTTTAATCTTGTTTAAATAGGTGGGATAGTTGCTTTAGGAAAATTTGATGCTCTTCACATTGGTCACCGAGAACTTGCAATCCAAGCATCAAAAGTTGGGATACCTTTTCTTCTTTCATTCGTTGGAATGGCAGAAGTTCTTGGGTGGGAACCTAGGTATGGACTGCATAACTCTACATGTTGGTGTTCCTTGTACGTATTTGCAATTGTTTCTCTACAGATCGCCTAACAATAGTTGCATGTATTATCTCACAGTTTTCTTCAGCACATAGTGTTAAACAGATAGGTTAATAATCTAAACTTTGGATTTCCATGTGCACTAGTTTTAAGTGGTGAGAAGTATACTCAGACTAATCTAAAGGAAAGATATAGTGAATGTGTAAAATATAATGAGTGTGTGATGGCCATAAAGTCAGAGATCCAAAAAGGATGGTATTGTCTGGTTCTCTATCCTGGAATTATTTGGTGACTTCTGAATTTTCAGTTTGCTGTAATGCATTCTTCTGGCTAGCAAATACTTAGCACAAAATCATAGGATGAAATAGTCTTTGTTCTGATGGCTTGGAGGACTTTCAAGTTTTGCTTACTGCTGAAGTTGTAAAAAATGGGGTTTAACATTTTTCTTCGTAATCTTGACTTCTCCAGCATTAATTTCATTCTTCGCTTGCAAGTTTGGTGGTTTTCCGAAAATATTCTGGAATATTAATCATTTTTGGTCAGCAATATTCAGCAATATTCTTCACTTCCAATTATGGTGAATGCGTAGGATACAATGAGTGTGTGAGAGCCCGTGAGTGATAGTGGAGAACTGAATGCAGCTAGACCTATTTTTTTGCTTTTTTGGTAGCATCCAAAAAGACAGTAATGTCTGGTTCTCTCATGATTCTGGAATTATTTAGTGACTTCTGAATTGACTGGTTTCAGTTTACTGTAATGCATTCTTTGGGCTAGTAAATACTTGGACAAAATCATAGGATGGAATAGTCTTTGTTCTAACGGCTTTGAAGGCTTTCAAGTTTTGCTTACAATTGAAGTTGTAAAGGATGGTTGTTCTTGATCTTGACTTCTCTGGCCTTAATTTCATTCTTCACTTACAATTTTGGTGCTTTTCTGAAAATATTCAGCAATATTAATCATTTTTGGTCAGCAATATTCTTCACTTCCATTTCTCACAGCTATTTTTACATGTTTTTAAGTAATATTTCAAGTGGGAAATAAATCAGGTACACCTCCCCAAGTTCTGTAGTTCCCTGAATGAGATCATATGGTCTTCTCCCAAAATTTGAGTTCTGAAATTCGGCTTTTAGTGTGATAGAGAGCGTGGTCATTGGAATGAAAGTATGGTAAGTTTTTGAGAATTTCTTGCCATGTTAAGATGGATAATGGAGGTCTGGTTTAGTGCATTCATTTCTGTATTAACATTCTATTTAAAAAGAAACTTTGATCATTTGTGCATGATAGACTATGGAAAAAAGGATGACAAAATTCATTCAAAAAGTGGTTCCTTCTGTTTCTCTGATAAACACATCCTTCAGTTTGTTTTTGCCATCATTTCTTGTTCATATTCCAAAATCTTGTCATTCTCAATCCTCTCCTGCATTTGTTAATCAAAGTTACGAAGCAATTATTACTTAGGACTTTCCATTCAGGCATGCCAGTGAATCTTGAACATGTCCATAGCTGGTTCCATAGCATGAGAGGCAGTGGTTAGTGCATTACAATAAAATTTCTTCAAATTGAAAGAGAGAGTCTGATGTCTTATATATGCAGTTTCTGTTTTCCATCTTCTCGCATGGCAATTCCATATTTATATCTTTCTCAACATTCTTAGATATGCATATTTCAAGCAACCAATACTAGCTGCACGAACAAGCACAGTTAAGGGTGCACTGAATGAATCTCTGAATTTTCTGAAAAGCTAATTAAAGAAACCGTAGATGCTGTAAAAATTGGGCAATCACCTAGTAAATAAGAAAAGTCACAGTTATACAATAAATCATAACATTTAAATAGAATTGTGTTGTTCATATAAGGTTGAGCTAGTCCACGGATGTCAATGGGTATTATTTTTTGACAGTTCTTTAAATCTAATCCAGTTTCTACATCATATCCTGCAAAAGATCCTACTTGATTTGGAAATTCTAATGAATGTGAAACAAGAATTTAAAATAGACACAGTAAGTGAAAAGAAGAAAGGTGCTTATTGAAAAACTATAGTGCGTGAAATCCTGAACAGTTTGTTAGTATTTAGACATACAGAGCATGGATGACTCATCCTATTTAATGGGTTTAGGAGGGCATCAATCGTATAGCACCTGTCATGATAGATAAGTATTTCAAATGGAAATTGGGCCCTCATAACATATCCAACAGGACTCTTAAACAATGTCGTTATCATCATCTGATATACCTCCCTCACGTAGTTTGTGCACTGGAGGGGACATCAACACATGCCAAAGGTAGTCTTAACCTACTATTTGGCTGTTAAAGCAGCACACACAGATCTTGAGCTACCAGTGTACCACACAAGGGGACAGGTTACGTAATAGCGTAGTACCTTGTCTCCTTATTAGGTGGAATGATATTTTTTGATTTTTTGAAATTATTTTACTTTTTAGTTCAAGTTCACTGTGCTGTCCTTTTTGGGTAAGTGCTACGTAACTCAGCCACCGTAAATTGCTGAACACTCTTGTTGATGTGGCCTGGAATTAATTCCATGCACTGGTCCAAACTTGTATTTGGAAGGATGCTACCTGCTAGTTGTGCCTTGGCTTCCATTTTTTGGAGCAATGTAGACTCTTGGATAACTCTTTAAAAATTGTAATCCCTTTTAGAAATACACTGAGCAGGCACCACTATCTGCAGGGTCCCCCACCACCCACCCCGCCCCCTCCCAAAAAAAGGTTTTAGAGTGCATGTCCCCTCTTTTGGTTGACCTCCATGGCTGGTTTGCTACTCTCCCTTTGTCTGTCTCTCACTAGGCATAGTTTTCTTTCTTTTCTGAGGACAACGTAGTACCCAACTTCGCTCATTTTGTATCTCCCTATATGTACCTTTCATACCTGCACTCAACACCTTAACAATTGTCATACGGATGCAGAGAAATATTAGATAAATTATAGATAAATGCCAAAAATAAATATGCAATCACCAATAGCAACTGTACAGCATCTTTTGACCCCTTTATGTTGAAATCAATGCTCTTGCAAGATATGATAGATTCAAATAAGGCAATAATTGCATTACATGATTTACTGATTTAGATGATAATGGATTTAATATTGGTGCCATCCTATAGTACCCTATAGCATCCCATAGTTGATAGAATGATAGTTTTTATTTTCCCTTATCATTTGGATTTTTTCTAACCTAGGTGCCTGTGCATATTATCTTTCAAGTTCTTTATTCAGAAGACATCCTATAAAATTTAGACATAATCAAAGAGTAAAGGGCTGTTGCATTCTGGAGTGAGTCAACCACAATCACAGAGAATACTTTGGACACTTGCTTATTCCAAGACTTCTTGTTAGTGCCATGTCTAAATTGCCCCACACTTTTAGGGCACAGCCACTTCTCACGGAATACGCTGCTATACTTAAGAGATTCTCCAAAGTTGTGGGCTATTCTGTAGTGGATGGGATGACTTGTTGTAAAGCTTGCTTGCTTGAACATAAACAGAATACGTAGACTAAAAGCTTTTTAAGGCCTGTCATTCCTTTGATAGATCTTTGAATAGGAGAGCCATGGCCAACATGGAAGTTTTCTTCTATAGAAGTCTCTTGGCTTCCATGCTGCACCAATGAAAAGGATCAGAACTGATAAGTATTGAAAAAAAAAATGACTGGAAAAAAGCCAGAATTTTCTTCTGGACCGTTATCTGTTATAAGATGAAAGTTCAATAGCAGAGCCAACATATCTGTGTGACATTCGCACAATTGCAGATAAAAGGAATTTTTTCCATAATCATGCTCCTTCATCTCTATTAGCATGCTAAAATAGATCATTACACAGTGAATGGAATAGGGCTTAGTTGTTTACAGAACTCTTAGTACAGGGTTAAGAATTTATGTCAGAAAGCAATTTTGATGCCATGCTACCAATTCCAGATTTCTTATTGCTAGATTGGGAAGATTATGCAAAATTTTGGAGTTTTATTCTTTCTTATGTCTCCATTTGGATTTATTTTTGTAGTATGTGATACAAACATTCATTCATTTCTTCAGATTACTTGTCATAAATTACCTTATAGGGAAGATTTACGAGTTCAATCTTGAGTTGAAATTATAGAGACAGAGTGTTGAAAAGAGGAGATTGATGCGAGCTTATTCATTTAAATGGTATAAACAGGGCTCCAATTGTTGCCAAATGTGACCGGAAAAGGGTTCTATCCTCGTGGGCACCAAACTGTGGCAATTTGACACCCAGGGAATTTCACATTGAATTCTCGAAAGTCAGGTATCTCACTCCACGGCAATTTGTTGAGAAGCTCTCTTTGGAGCTTGGAGTACGTGGTGTTGTGGCAGGTACTTAAGCTTATTTCCCTATTGTCTTTTGTTTCCTTTTAGAATGTCTCTGAGTAATGGCAGTAAATAAGGATATTATTTTGTGATAGGCGAAAACTATCGGTTTGGATATAAGGCTGCTGGTGATGCGTCAGATCTCGTTAGATTGTGTGAGGAATATGGTCTGGGAGCATACATTATTAGTTCAGTCATGGACAAAAAACAAGACTCCAAAGAGATCAATGCTAGTGATTCAATGGAGCGAGGCCAAGTCTCGTCAACTCGTGTCCGTCATGCTCTTGCCAAGGGGGACATGAACTATGCATCGGAGCTTTTGGGCCGTCATCATCGTCTCATGTTGATGATGGAAGAGAACGACAGGTTTGCTACTGATAATAGGGTGTCAGCTCCAAAATCTTGTTTATTAAATCTTCCACCTGTAGAAGGTTCTTATGAGAACTGTTATCTTTCGATTGGTGACGAGAATGTTGTACCGTGCAGAGTAATGATTGATACAACTCATATTCATTTGGAATTGGATGTGTTAGCCACTTGTATTCCCTTAACTTCTCAAGACTTCCGATTACTAGGCATCGACTTTGCTGGGTCAGGAACATTTTAATACAAATGGTTTACAATTTTTTCAGGAGCATGGGAGTTTTTTTTTATTTTATGTCATATGCTTCTTTTTATAGCTTTGTGCTTCTTATTATGCTTCTTATTATTGTCTGTCAGGAGACATGCTGGTAACCTTGCGTTCTCATGGCCCCATGCATTGATATACGCTAGTGGGCTGGTTTCTCCAGCCTAGTATTCCCCGCCCGTCTCGTCCCAGTTTTCACACTTTTGGATGCCCGCTGTTCTGAATCTCAATATCTCATGAAAGAAAGTATTTGCATCGTCAGCCATTCGAGCGGGCGGAACCACTGGGCTGTGCTTCATTGTTCATAGTTCACGGCCCAGAATAGATAGCATCCGGCCTATCAAGGCCATATATAATATGAGCATCCTGAAGGCCCCCCAAAAAAAAAAAAAATCTGATATGGATCGCTTAAATGTAATGACGTAACAAATTTTGATGCATTAAAAGGTACGTCGTACGCTTGTTCTCAACTGGGCTAGACAACAAACTAACAACCCTTTTATTGCAGATTTATAATGTTTGCTTGCATAAATAACACTTAGGCAAAGCTTAAGTTGTTAAAGTCAATAGAGAGGATATAAGGCTAACTTTAAAGTTAAGCGTACTTGGAGGAGAAGATATAAAACTAGCTCATTGACTAGTATCTGATGCTAGGAGATCTTTACAGTTATATTAATGACTTAATAGAGATACGGAGTAGTATTTTCCGTGCTTATTGGTGAATGGTAGAAACGTTGATATGTTTGTTTTTATTTTTTGAGAAAACTCGAGTTGATTCACATATTTGTTTTTGAAATACATGACCCGATTAAAAAAAATGCTGGTTTTGAGATCCAAAAGAAGTTCTGCTCCAAAATGCTAAGAAACCAAAGCAAGATTCTACATCATCTAAAGTTATGAATAACATGCCAGAAGAAGACATGGATCTTGATAAGTTCTCGAAAAACAAAATACATAGAACATCTATCTATGTCAACTGCCCAAAATCTTTTCTAAATGCTTCAACGCCTTTTAAGATGTAAAAGAGAATGAAATTTTTGGTTGCACTAGGACACCCTAGTAAATGTAAAGTCAAAACCTATTTTGTGAAGTTGATATAGGGGCCCAGGAAAAATTTAAACGAAACCACACATCTATTCTTGATTGCAATAAATAATTTTCAGAGAATTGTTATTCGTTAATCCTCTCAATTTCATTATTCTATTTCTTACAAAAAAAAAAAAAAAAGAAGAAGAAAGCAAGGGACTTCAATGGTCCAAAAGCTTTATGGGCACCTTAGAGTACGTCCAAAAAGTTATGGTGACATCTTTACTTCAGTAGGGTTCCTCCATTTCACCGCATTTGGGAAATGCCATGGCACATTCACGAAGAATATTCCAGAGACCAACTGATGATATTTCTTCTAGTTTTGTCCGGATGCCTTTTATAAAGATGCATTGTCTCATGTCTGCGTGCTAGCATAGCCACAGCTCCCAAGCTTAGGTTTCAGATGCTTGTCATACAAAGTTGTATATATATACTGTCACGTTCACTGCCCTTAAATTTAACATGTTATTCAACTTCTCCATTTTTAAAGTCTCTCTTAAACTGCCTAAATGAAAACAATAAGGAAAAAAAAATCTTCGATTTGGATGCTTGTCATTCGAAAGAATGTGTATATATTCTTCACTATGTGCCCTTTTAAGGTAATGACTAAAAGTTTCTGCAACTTGTAACGAATATGTGCGTGCTTCGTGTCTGTGTAAAATGGCTCACGAAAATAGGATACTTGAATCAGCAACGTCCTATGCAACATATTGGGGAAAACATGTAGCTGATTGATGAGATCATGATGTAAATTTAAGATCAATGGGCGGAGGTATAGTCATTTTAGATGGTGCAAATGCAGCCCTCGATGTTTTGAAAACTATTATGTAACCTATAAAAAATTTACACTTTTTACTATTGTCCCACCCCCTGAATTTTCAAAATATTCCATCTAGACCCACAATTGCCCCCAAAAATGTTGATTTTTTTTAACAGTTTCCCTTACCATTTCTGCTATGAAAGTTTTGAAATCAAACATGATGCTTTTTCTATTTTTTTCTAATAAAGTTTTATTTACTTAAAATTAAACTTTACTTGTACGTCCATCTATATGAATTAGAAGTTAACCAAATATTCATTTGACAATTTGATTGTGTACATATTATCTGTACATATGCATAATTTTAGCAATTCTATAGGTTTTATACTATTAGATGATTTGATAACTACTGTAGATAATAAATATCAAAATATAGACAATTTTCTAATTCTATTTTTGTAACATTAAACAAATTGGTTCATATCTACTAAGCTTATAATAAACACTTAATTGCACCGAAAACTCATAAACCACATATTTAAGTTTATATACAATTGTTGCACCATCTAAACAAAGGTTCTAACTTCACCACTGATCATAGTTTTGTTACATTGCATGTGTGTCTGTAGTGGATTTTTTTTTTTCAAGTTCTGTTGAGCTTAGACTATTAGTCCTTCTTTCTTATATGCGCTAAATCCTTTGATGTACTGTTTTTGATTATTTCTTTTTGTTACTTTATTCTGTTCCAGGGATAAATAGTACTTTACCAAAAGACAAGTTGTATCCACAATACCACTAATTTTCTATGTACAATATTTTGATTGTCTATTATGTATATTATGTTTTAGGTTTTTTATAACTTTAGATCAAAACTTTGCAACACTTTGTTCAATGTTAATTTAACTTCAATTAGAAACATTCTATTAAGTGATTCCAGTCAACGTTAATTTCATATCTTAAATATTGCATATCATTTGCATAATTTGAAGTTATTACAAATTTTGTATACAACATCTATCCTTTGTCTAATTCCAAAATATTTTTTAAGTAGTTATTCATTAATAATCTTTATAAATAAAATTTTTGAGTTTCTTAAAAATTTAATGATAGTACATTCCCTAGTTTGTGCGCTAGAAAGGCTTTTACAACTTATTCATTCCATTCTAGTATTTGGTATGCAAATTTTGTGTAGGAAAGGCCTTTTTTCCTAAGAAGCCTATTCCAACTTTTTTTTTTTTTTTGGAATCACATTCCTCACAAAATCTAGGAAAAACTTATTCTCACTGTATCGAGGAAACATCTAAGTTGTAGCAAGAAGTATCTAAATTCCAGGGGTCCAGTTTACCTTTTCATACATCTCTATTTTCTATAAAAGTGTCATCTAAATTGTAGCAAGAAATATCTAAATTGTAGGGATCAAGTTTACCCTTTTATACGTCATTTTATTTTTTATATATGTGCTAAATGTTAGGTTACCTGTGAGTTAATAACATTGTTACTTTTTAGTCATAAATAATTCTAATTCTATAAATTAATGACATTTTTTCTCTTTTTTCTCTTTTTACTATCAAATAATATATTTAATTACACATTTTAACATCTTTTTATTTATAAAATTGGATTATGTGATGACACTGTCAACTTAGAAGTAATAAGTGCCAATTCATACACACTCTAATAAATAAAGAAGAAAAAAATTGCTACTAAACCATTTGTTAAGTCACAAATGTACCTGAGGGGGAGGGATGGATTGAGTGATTCGAGAGTAGGAAATGTAAGTGAGAGGTATTGGCTTTGAACCCTCCCAGTTTCACTATTAAAAAATAGTTATAAATATACATTTTTTGTTTATAAATAGAAGCATATCAAGGGAACATAGGAATTTATATGTATGCAATTTGAATATTCAGTTTGGGTAAATTAGTATTCAACTATTGCAATTTTATGTTATTAAAAAATTATTATTATTATTATTATGGATTAATCTTCTATACATTGACAGTGTATATACTTTTACTATTAGATGCATGATACATAATTCGAATTGCATATGTTTCTAAATTATTAAGTTATTTTTATCCAACTATTGCTAGTGTCAAACAAAATGAGAGAAGAAATGTTTTATGTCATAGTTAGGGCAATTAAGTCAACATATTAGTTTTCGTCATTCCATTTTACATTCTCAATATGATTCTACTAGATGTTGGAAAAGAAATGCACATTTCATTCTGACTTCAGTTACCTAACACTGGAATGATAACTTGTTTCCTGCCCAATTTGGTAGAAAAGAATTTTGGGTAGCAAGGCCTTTCCATTCTGGATTATTCTTACATATGAAATGTGTGAGGACCCGTAAATTTTATTTATTTCAAAATATTTTATTTTATTATTTTTCTCGCATGCATTTTTTTCATTAAACCCTATTATGTTGATTTTCGAGATTTTTATAAGTAAATATAGTTTTTAAATCATTTTTCTAATATAAGTTAGTTCATGAGAAATAAAGAGTGTATATTGGACGTGGGACCCGCTAGTGGCGTTAAGTGCGACGAATTCGACCAATTAGGTTAAGTGTTGTATACCGGGATTAATTTACTAGGTGGTAAGAGATAATTAGAGGTTGCTTAGATGGTTAATCTTGGAGAGACAAAAGGATAAGTTTAAAACCCTAAAGGTGCTAGGAGTCACTTTTCTAGTTGAGCTTAGACTTTGACTACTATTTCTCACCTTTACTAATACCTCAATTTTGACCCAAAAATCATCTTATTTCTCTAGCATCTTGGCCGAATTATTGAGGAGAAAAGAAGAGAGACAGCTTCTTCAATTTTCCTTCCTTTCTTGCTTGAATCTTGCAAACCTACCGTTTAAATTCCAAATTCCTCAACAATAGTGAGTTGATAAGCTAGTTTAAGGCTTTTAGTGAAGCCATTTGTGAAGAACAAGCTCTAGTTATCTTGCTTCTTGGAGTTGCAAAGGTGAGTTGTCAAGATATCTTCCTTCTCATGCTAATAGTGATCAATTACGGGTTTCTAGTGGTGAAGCATGTCATTTTGTGGGTTATTTCTTAAGTTATGGTTGAGTTGTCTAATTTTCCTATTTATTGAGGATTTTTCTGTTTTTATATGTTTATTATTGGTTAGCCATGGATGATGGTTGGAAATGGTCTAGAATGAAGCCATAGTGCGTAAATTGTAGCGAATTGCGGAAAATTTCCACTTTGTGCGGAAAATTCCAGATTAGGGTTTCCATTTTTCCCCATTCTGCCTGGTACTGTTTCTCCTAGTTAGAGGCCGAATTGGCCTTAGTGTAAAACATAAAAGTTGTATAGAATAATGTTTTATAGTTTCCTGCAAAATTTCAGTCCAATCGGAGCAACGTAACCTGTGAAAAGACCAAAATACCCCTGCTGCCCTGTTTCTGTCCGAAACTGATAATCAGCTTCTGTAATTGGTTAGTTTGACTGGGAATACTACTGATTTGGTTGTCAATGTCTTCTTAAGAATTATATTCTTGTATCTTAGCTTTCAAATGGCTTTGGAATTACCTGAAACGGAGTTGTGTGTGCTGAGATATGATTGAATGAATCATGACTGCTAGTTGAATTTCACAGTGAGCGTCGAACTG